CTGCCTTTGACACACGTTGATCATGTTCTCCTTCTTCAAACTCTTCAATCTGTCTCTGTGACTCTGTCCTCTTGTGGTTTTCCTCTTATCTCTCCCAATGCTCATTCAGTGTCTCCTTTTCTAATGATACCTCCTCCCCTCGTCCTGTCTCGGTTGGAGTCCCCCAAAGCTCTGTCCTTGGTCTCCTTCTATTTTCTCTCTATACTGCCTCTCTTGGCAAACTTACCTCATTTGGATTCCACTACCACCTGTACGCAAATGACACCCAGATATATCTCTCCTTCCCGGACCTCTCCCCTGCCGCCCTGCAACGTGTCACTGCTTGACTTTCTTCCATCTCTGACTGGATGTCCTCCCACTTTCTGAAACTCAATTTCTCTAAAACTGAGCTCCTTGTCTTTCCTCTTCTTAATACTGATCCTCCTCTTTCACTCTCCCTTTAAGTTAGTGGTATCCAAGTCCAAAACTTTTAAACCAATACCAGTTTTTAAACCCCCTCCCACCACCTTTTTTTCCTACTTTTACAAAGACATCTACTGTGGGATGTAACTAACAAAAGGCTTAACCAAAGCCACCTTAAGAATCTGCTATTAGTTACTTACAGTTCACGGTTTCATTTCCTCTTCGAGGAATTATCTATATATATAGAGATTCTAAATATTATTTTTATGCTGTAATCTCCATGGAAACCAATGGATTGTTCCTGCTGTTGGTTCCACTTTTAGAACTTTGTCGCACAATGGATCTTTATGTACAATTCATAATAATATTATCTCGTCTGAGAAAAGACTTTGAACTATATCATTGAGTATCAGGTTCATGTGTGTCCATTTGTGCAGCTGGGATAACTACATAACTAACACATTTATTGCAATGACCTCACACAGAAAGCTATCTAAACTGAGACATTCCATACACTGACAGCTCTATGTATACTGAAAATGCTCACACACGCACCCAGCTGGAGTCGGATTGGCCAGGACCCTGCACCAATATTCTCCCTTTAGAGATTCTTTAATGACTCATCCTGCGTGGTGATGGAAAATGCATCTGGGGATAAACTACTTTTCCCATAGACCCCTGCTAGTCACCCTCTAGAGTCTAGACCAAAATGAGAGGCTCCTGGTTGGTGGCGACTCTTACTGTGAGAGAGGGGGGTATTCCTGTGGGAGCAGAAGGTCTCATACACTTTTGCAGCTATAGGAACTTTGAAGAGGCAAATTTGTATTTTTATTTTCTTGTAATTTTTTGTTTGCATTGGGAATGTGTTAGCTACAGAATGCAATGCATACAAATCAAGGGTTCTTTACCTGTTACAGCACTTTATACCGACAATAATATATACAGGGAGTGCAGAATTATTAGGCAAGTTGTATTTTTGAGGATTAATTTTATTATTGAACAACAACCATGTTCTCAATGAACCCCAAAAACTCATTAATATCAAAGCTGAATATTTTTGGAAGTAGTTTTTAGTTTGTTTTTAGTTATAGCTATGTTAGGGGGATATCTGTGTGTGCAGGTGACTATTACTGTGCATAATTATTAGGCAACTTAACAAAAAACAAATATATACCCATTTCAATTATTTATTATTACCAGTGAAACCAATATAACATCTCAACATTCACAAATATACATTTCTGACATTCAAAAACAAAACAAAAACAAATCAGTGACCAATATAGCCACCTTTCTTTGCAAGGACACTCAAAAGCCTGCCATCCATGGATTCTGTCAGTGTTTTGATCTGTTCACCATCAACATTGCGTGCAGCAGCAACCACAGCCTCCCAGACACTGTTCAGAGAGGTGTACTGTTTTCCCTCCTTGTAAATCTCACATTTGATGATGGACCACAGGTTCTCAATGGGGTTCAGATCAGGTGAACAAGGAGGCCATGTCATTAGATTTTCTTCTTTTATACCCTTTCTTGCCAGCCACGCTGTGGAGTACTTGGACGCGTGTGATGGAGCATTGTCCTGCATGAAAATCATGTTTTTCTTGAAGGATGCAGACTTCTTCCTGTACCACTGCTTGAAGAAGGTGTCTTCCAGGAACTGGCAGTAGGACTGGGAGTTGAGCTTGACTCCATCCTCAACCCGAAAAGGCCCCACAAGCTCATCTTTGATGATACCAGCCCAAACCAGTACTCCACCTCCACCTTGCTGGCGTCTGAGTCGGACTGGAGCTCTCTGCCCTTTACCAATCCAGCCACGGGCCCATCCATCTGGCCCATCAAGACTCACTCTCATTTCATCAGTCCATAAAACCTTAGAAAAATCAGTCTTGAGATATTTCTTGGCCCAGTCTTGACGTTTCAGCTTGTGTGTCTTGTTCAGTGGTGGTCGTCTTTCAGCCTTTCTTACCTTGGCCATGTCTCTGAGTATTGCACACCTTGTGCTTTTGGGCACTCCAGTGATGTTGCAGCTCTGAAATATGGCCAAACTGGTGGCAAGTGGCATCGTGGCAGCTGCACGCTTGACTTTTCTCAGTTCATGGGCAGTTATTTTGCGCCTTGGTTTTTCCACACGCTTCTTGCGACCCTGTTGACTATTTTGAATGAAACGCTTGATTGTTCGATGATCACGCTTCAGAAGCTTTGCAATTTTAAGAGTGCTGCATCCCTCTGCAAGATATCTCACTATTTTTGACTTTTCTGAGCCTGTCAAGTCCTTCTTTTGACCCATTTTGCCAAAGGAAAGGAAGTTGCCTAATAATTATGCACACCTGATATAGGGTGTTGATGTCATTAGACCACACCCCTTCTCATTACAGAGATGCACATCACCTAATATGCTTAATTGGTAGTAGGCTTTCGAGCCTATACAGCTTGGAGTAAGACAACATGCATAAAGAGGATGATGTGGTCAAAATACTCATTTGTCTAATAATTCTGCACTCCCTGTATATATTTGAACAAGATGATAATTCTTCATGAAAAATGTGATTCCAAGTTAGCCTAAACAAAATATTTGTGAACACCTGCCTGCCAGTTCTCCAAGGTACCTGCTGGGGGGGAGGTGCTATTGCGTCACTGGAGCCACCCGGAGGGAGTGGGTCCACCCGAACAATTGGTAGGTCAGCATGGCGTGAATGCTTGCCAGTTTATCTGTCCAACATTTAGGCCGGCCCACTGAGGGCAAACCCTGTTTCAGTACTCTCTTCAGGGTCCTAATGACCTCAGCATAGCGTGAGCATGGGACACCAGGAAACTAACTAGGGACGGTAGGACAGGATCCAAAAATCAAGACTACCCCGCCAACATCGGGATGATTGGGAAGCCTGGTATATTTGAACTGGGAAGTTTTTCCAAGTCAGTTATAATTCCAGTTCAGTTATTTTGGCCTTAAATGTCAAATTCACTTTGAATTCTTACCCTTTAAATTGGGATTCGTAGAGAATTGATAATGAAATAGAACGTTGTAGCGAATCTTTATCTAATAAAAACAAAACCATCTACATTAAACCATATACAATTAAAGGGATGCTACATTGCCCAAATACAAATAAAATAAATTAATACAAAACAATGTTTAGTAGATATACCCCAAATTAAATCATCCATGCATTAAGTATGCATTTTTGTCATTGAGGGTATATATGAAAACAGTGTAAAAAAACATAATATACTCGTATTGACATGAAGTATTTTTATCACTTAGCTATTTACTTTATCTTTTTTCCCTTTTTATTTCGAAATGCAGTGCATGTGTCATCTTGGAAAAGTTCTTTTTTTTTGTACTAGTGAATTGCTAAATTAAATTTGTTGGTTTCAAAATAATGATCCGGGTATTAGTGATATCCTGAGATGAAGTGTCTGAAAATGCAATTCACAGGAATTTTTTTCCAGGGCCAGGCAATTTGCCAAAAAAAAAACCCTTTTACTTATACTTTTAAGGTTATAATAGAATAAACACAGAGTTTGGATATTTAACCCACTGAGTGCGAAAAATGTTTTAAAGCAGATAGTAAGTCTAGTGTTCTTTTTTGAGGGGGGTGGTGGTGGAGGGACTGACAAATGAGAGTTTAGGGATCATGACAACCTTGAGAACTTGCGATACTGTGTGACACATTCAAGGATTTCCACTTCGATAAGATAACCCTCTTAATGTCTACGTGTAAAATCTTTCTCTACATTTTATAGCTTATTTTAAAAAAAAAAATAGACACTTTAACCCCTGAAGGACCAAACTTCTGGAATAAAAGGGAATCATGACATGTCACACATGTCATGTGTCCTTAAGGGGTTAAATATTAAAAAGCTTTCTAACTCATTACAAGAAATTCTTTGTTAAATTAAAAGGAAGAATTATTCTTTTATCATTGCTATTCAGACACCAACATGGGCTGTAGCGCATTTAGAAAATCTTTAATCCAGTGCCAGTATCTTTTAAACAGCTATAGAAATCTAAAAAATGATGGCGGCTTTTACAAAGAATTCTGCTGTGGGTCGTGACTCACAAAAGGCTCAGCCAAAGACACCTGCAAAAATCTGTAGCTAATTACCTACAATTCACTGTTTAGTGAATGAACCATTTTGCATCAGCTCCTCAAGAAATCATCTATATATATGTATAATAGAATAACAGATAGATAGATAGATAGATAGATAGATCTCCATTGAAACCAATGGAACTGTTAGTACGTTGTCCCACAACGGATCTTTATATACAATTTATTGCAGCGTTAGAGCTATTATCTCGCCGGAGAAAAGACTTTGAACTATAGCACTGAGTATCAGGTTCATGTATGTCCATTTGTGCAGCTGCCAACAACTGCTGGGATAACTGCATAACTAACACATTTATTGCAATGACCTCACACAGAAAGCTATCTAAACAGAGACATTCCATACAATGACAGCTCTATGTATACTGAAAGTGCTCACACACACTCAGCTGGACTCAGATTGGCCGGGACTCTCCTTCCTATTGTTCACATCTGGGCATCCAGACAGAATACAATCATTTCTCATTTATTAGGAAACACCCCTGGGGGAGGAAGTCTTAGACGATGTATAAATTCAACACTCTTTGCCTCTTTCAGTCACAGCAGCTGAGAGCTTCTGAGCTTACACTAGATACAGCTGTGCATTCATAATTCCTAGATTCAGAGCACAGCAGGAGTCCACACTATCACCAGACTATCAGAGAAGATGATTTGCACCAGGAGGTGAGTGTCCAGCATGGGTCAGGGAAAATTCTAACCATTTCCAGCTTTTCAGAAACTAACTTTTTTATTTCTCTTTTCTTTTTGACAAGAGCAGACGCAGCTTACTAACTAAATGAATTTTTGGGGGGGGGTTTGTTCTTAAAACATTTTATTGTTTTAAACAAAGTAGATCGATGCACTTGATGTCAAGGTTACAATACTGATCACCCCAGCCAGTATTAAAGCTCAGATAAAAACTAACTGTAATTTAAACTGGTAAAATTATGTGTATTTTAGAAAAAATCACGGTGGTTTTAATTGGCGTTCTGAACCTTACAATATTTCAATCTTACTTGATATTTGTCAAGAATAACCCTACTGTCTGTCTGCTTTCATGTTTCGAAGGGAAAATGTTTCAACCCCACTGTCCTAGACCTTCCACTATGAGTAGACCAGGCAATGCTTCATGAATGGGACAGATAATCTGACTTTGTTAAACCTGCTATAACTGTCTCACTCCTTTACCTATTGTGGACAGGAAATGTTTGAATTCTACTCTACAACTGCGTTACTTGTAACACTTCTGTCTCAAACCATTATCTATACATAGACCAGCCAGGGGTAGGCAGCCTACGACACTCCAGATGTTGCAAACGACATCTCCTCTGATGCTTCGCCAGCATCGTGGCTGTAAGAGCACTGTTGTTGATGTAGTTCACAACATCTGGAGTGCCAAAGGTTGCCTACCCAAATGTCTAACACCTAATGGGTGCTTGAGAAGATTACCAGCCTTTATTAATTGATAATGGAACTATTTGGAACTTAACCTAAATCACATTTAAGCTTTACTTAAAAACACTATTAAAAAAGTAATATATATGTATTACTGTAGTGATAATATACAAAGATTACATCATTTCATTAACTTCTATGACAAGAGATATAACGGAACTATCTTTATCTTTTTCCTAGGTCAATCTCGATCATTTTGCTCCATCTTGTAGCTATCGCTACAGCCTTACCTCCTCTAGTCCGGGTGGCCCAGGAAGATGTACGGTTTGGTGTACGTTTATTCCAGGAGGTTCTACAAGATCACAAAGAGGGGAACTTGGGCTTCTCACCCTATGGAGCATCATCTGCACTGAACATTTTGCAGTTTGGGACAGCTGGTGAAACAATGGAGCAAATCCGTAAAGTCATGAACTATGGACTTCACGGTAAGAACATACATTGAATAGCGCTGGATTGTTTGACATATTAGCATTTAAATGCTGAGCCTCCGGTTATTAGCAAACAAACTTTCACCAATCTTTTCCAGGCTAAAGCACAGCAAATGGCAGATGCTTTTATATAAAGAAATCAGTATAGATACAAATCTTGTAAATATTAGACTTATATTACTCAGAGGATAAATAAATTATTAGACTGATTAAACTAAGCTGCCGACAGCATACAGAATGAACATTTTTATGAGATCTTTTAAAAGATGTTCTACTTACAGCAAAACTTCTTCGAATTCTCCTAATCGCACTTTATACTGCGGGCATTAGGAACGAGTTACATAAATATCTTAGGCTATCTAGTTTAAAGAGAAGTGTGTCGAAAATACAGAATTCAAAACATAAAGGATTACATTTGAGCCACAGAGTTAAATGCAGAATAATGCACACGTAAAAGGCTTAGTTTGTATTCTTCCTAATGCTAGGGAATGTCTTGTAATAATCTTTATGGAGTGAGAAACAAATAAGTACACCCTTTATACAGCCCTTTCAGACGTGCAGTTAGCAAAGTATCACCACCCACTGATTCATATCCTAAGGTGAACAGGTTTAATTAAAGGCTCCAAGGTAAAACATGTCTCAGCTCCTTCTTTTAACCTTTCCCAGGTTTGAATTAAAAAATATATATATATATTTGGGTTTAATAAGCTCTTTTGTGGTGTTTTGGTTTGCTATAACAATGTTAGAGCATTATGATTGGGAGGCGGATAGGTTTATATATAAGAACCATTTATCTATTTTTTATGCTGTAGGTATTTCTCATGCATATGTTCTTTTGTACTTTATAAGACTTTATCACCTCTGGAAGGCTGCTTTACTTATCCAGAGCATATTTTTTTTGCTGTTGTTTTTATTTTTTACTTAGCCTTAAATTCTAAATTCTAGAGGTGTCCAAAGTTTGCTCATCTGCTTGATGTTGGACTGCAATTTCTATCAATTTTTACAGGGTTACTATATTTCAGATTTAAGGTGGACATAGCTGGTAAAATTCTCTAAGTTCGCTATGCTTTCTGTTTGGTTGCTCTGGTCTCAAATTTAAAATCCACTTTGAATTCTCACTTTAATAAATAACCCCGTCAGAAAGATAGAAATTATAGTCTTGCATATTTAGACATACTTATACTCACTACAATTTATGAAAAAAAGTCTATGCCTCATAAAAGCTGGAGATGTGTCTGAGTGGGAATTCTTTACAATAAGGGCAGCCATAGAGAGGTTCTTTATGATAGAGCTGGACATTCAAAGATTGCTTGCTGAGTTTAGGAACCGATATTGAATGTACCTGTTTGTTACAGTTCTGGAGAATTGTCTTTGTGAGATCTAGAATTGAATATTGCATGCTAAATTAATCCATATTCCAGTGTAAGGATGACAGAGAGGTGAGGTGGTAGTAGAACAGTATGAAAGGAAGCAACATTTATTCTGGACTGTAAGGTGGCAATATAGCAATATCTTATTCCAATGAAGAGTGGGTTGTAGTAGTCAAGAATTGCTTACATGTTTTGGAGATTGTGAGGAGTGAGGCAGATGGGGTAGTATATAATACCGCTAAGGAAACAAGCATGTGGAAAGAGAAGAAGGTTGCAACACTGAGCAAAGACGAGCATGCCAAAAAGGCTTAGTGTTCCAGGGAGGAGAGCAGTAATTCATCTTCTGTAGATGATGTGTTCAAGACCTTGGCTTATATCCAGTTGATAAGAAGTAAGGATATTAGTGTAATAAGAATATAACCTACAATGGCATGATAATAATTCAAATTTGGTTGTCTACTAAGTTGACAGACAACAATGTGTAGTTTTGTAGCTGTTGGTTGCCTTCAACTGCCATGAACCTTTGACAGTCCTGAAACTGGTTACCTTCTGTCTGAAAAAGTGACCTAAAACTATTAAAGATATATTTTGGGTTAATTGATATGTATTTAAAAGCACAGCTTTATTTTATAATGGTATGTGTGGATGAGTAAATATTTCCCTTCCACTAACTGTTTCCATCTCGATTACCCAGAACGGGCTGTGTATGCTTCCCTTCGAAAGCTAAGAGAAGAGATAAGTCAAGTACAAACAGTCAGCGAAGAACCAAAGTCAGTGCATGTGGCTGATGGACTCTTTGTGCAACGCGACCTTACTCTGACCCCTGGATTCCTTCAAAGATTCCAGTCCACCTTCCGGCGTCATGTAACCCAAGTCAACTTTACTGATCCATCACAGGCCAAGGATATCCTGAACCAATGGGTGGAAAACCAAACTGAAGGTAAATATCTCAAGTCGAAGAAGATGAATTAATAATATGGTTGGAACAAGAACAATAAATAATTGTGGTTGACAAGAAAACTACCTATTTTCTCACTTTATCACATGGTTCCTCATTTAACTTTTTTTTTTTTTTTTAAGGAATGATCAAAGACCTATTGGGGAGCAACTCTATTCCCCCACTGACACGCCTGGTTCTACTTAGTGCTGTGCATTTCCATGGCGCATGGAAACTCCCATTCCCAGAGAAAGCAACACACCAGAGACCATTTTACCGAATGGATGGGTCTCAGGTGCAAGTTTCTATGATGGCCAATACTGGGAAGTACAACTACAGTAAGTTTCCAGGCACATTGTGATAGTTCTGTGGGTAGATCATGCATCAGTTTATTTCCATTCACTACCACATGCATTTATACCTTCACCCTCACCTAACAAACCCTCTCTAGCTAAGATAGTCCTCACATTCACCTACAATGCTGACTTTCTCTATATCTTGTCCTTAAACTTTCCTCTAACCCCTTAGATTGCATTATTTTGAGGTATGCTCTTTGTGAATTATTTTTGTTAAATTTCATATATAAAACTAACTGTAATTATCCTGTCAGGTGAATTCCTGACCCCAAATGGAGAAGATTATGATGTGATCGAGCTGCCCTATGAAGGTGGAGAACTCAGCATGTTGATTGCAGCTCCATATGAGAAGGAAGTACCATTGTCCACTATCACCAATATTCTGACTCCAGAACTCATCCAAGAATGGAAGGAAACTATGAAACCAGTGACCCGTTTTCTTGTACTTCCCAAGTAAGAACCATTGCAAAGTCTGCAAGTTGGACAATTACAAAGAGAGCTTTGAGTTTGTTTCACTCCTCAGAAGAGGATATGTATATACAAACGCTTATGTGATACACAATGGTTATATGTGTATTGTGGAAAATTAATCCCATAAAGGAATTCTGGAGATATAATGATAAACAAAGGGACTGAAAGTTGGGTGGATCATGAATGTCATCAGTACCGGAGATGACATTCTAATCCATTAATACATGTTGCATTGTTTTATACTCCATTGTTTTTGTGGCTAGGGTTAGGAAGTAATGAATCATGAGGCGATATTTGGAACATTTTAACAAAACCCCAAGTCTGACAAAAGGTCAAATAGTGAAATAAATGTTTCTGGGAAAAGGTCAAAAAGGTATGGAAGATAGTAAACCTTGAACTCTTGAGAGTGTTTTCCTAAAGTTTCAACTTAAAGGGTTACACCAAGCACCATGATTACTTTAGATATATGAAGTGGTTATGGTGAATGGAGTCTGTATGTGCAGTGTTTTGCTATGAAATACTGTACATACTGTGTTTAACCACTCTCACTGGGGCATCATCAGGTGGTGCAGAACTCGTGTTCTGGGATGACTAAGAGGAAACAACTACCACACAGCCCATGAATGGCCATGACTTCTGGTAACTGCAACTTTGCAGAAGCCTGAAACTCATCACCAGACCAACAGAGTGCCTCAGAGCCAGATGGGGTCCCAGGTAAGGGCCAAACCATTGCTAAACAGTTTGCCCCATTACCGAGAAACCAGGCCAGTGTACTACTTGCATCATAACCACTACAGCAAGCTATAGTAGTTATGATGCTTGGTGCGACCTTTTTATCATAACACCAGCCTTAAATTATTACCTTCATATCTCTATGTAAAAACATATCTGAATTTCTAAGTCCAAATCTAGTCTTTCTGTATTTCTTCATGAAATATTTTTTCCCCTGTTTCCCCAGGTTCTCTCTGCTCAGTGAGGTCGATCTTAAGGCTCCGTTGGAACGTCTTGGTGTTAAAAACATGTTCAGTGCTGAGACAGCAGACTTCAGCCGTCTGTCTGGTAAGAACTCACACTTCAGCTAAATGATGATGAGACAGAAGAATTTGAAACACGTGACTCACATCTCACACAATTCTTGTTTTCTCTTGCAGCTGAGAGACCACTCTACGTTTCTCAAGCATTCCAGAAAATCAAAGTAGAAGTGACAGAAAGTGGAACAAGAGCAGCTGCAGCAACAGGTAAGAGCCAACCTTTTGAAAGGAAACATAGAAAAAATATGGTCAACAAAAAGATAATAGAAGGGAAATAAGAAGGTTGGATTTGGCTTCATTTTCATAGACAGAAGTGGTTCTGCATCTGCTCCCAGGGGACTATGACCCTAGAGGTAGAGAACAAAGGTCCAATTGCTGCTTATCACAACGTAGATATTTTGGAGACTGAAAATGTTGGTTAGTTTAAGATAAAAACATTTATCACCTGTTGTTTTGTGGTGAAATACAATGCTCTTTAAACTGAGGAAGCAGTGAAACGTCTTCCTTCTCCTGAGGGTTTGATTAAAGAATTAGAGAATGAAAGGTAAATAAGGAAACAAGTAAATGGAAAGAAACACAAAAGAGGGATATATACCAAGATATAAGGAATAGAGCAAATTGCAAGACAACAACTACAAATTCACAGGCACAAAACATGACAGGCTTTGAAATGATGGACTACAGAAATTACTATAGAAGATAAAAGTTACAGAAAGGGTTGTCATAGATCTATAAAAAATAAGGACAGAGATTCATTGTATAATAATAATAGAAAACTGAGAGCTTAGAGAAGAACTGGAGCCAAGGGTTCTATGGCTTTGGAAAGATCAGATCCATGATATAAGTGTGAGCAAAGAGTTTTTAGTTTGGAAAGGAATATTGGGAAATGGAAAGCTCCATCTTGTGGGGAAGGAATATGTGTGAAAGAATATTCTTAAAAAATAATGAAAAAACACTAATCCACCAGCTTTGTAAGATTAAGCGGGGAGAAATATTGAGAAAAATACAGTCACAGAACAGCATTTCAGAAGATTTTATTTAACTGCTTCCCTTTCTTTTAGCTGCTATACTCCTCGCTCGGATGGCGCCTCTTGAAGTTATCATGGATCGACCATTCTTGTTCATCATTCGACATAACCCAACAGGTGAGACATCTCCAAGAATCATAACTTACATACAGTTTAAATTCCACATCAGGTTGTCATATCCTATGTGATAATATTTTCTTTACATCTAATCATGCACCAGAATACTGCAAAGTAGCTACTTAAAAAGGCACTGTAAGCACTATAACTACTACAGCTCATTGCAGTTTTTATAATACCACGAGTCTCTGGATGCCTTCCCCTGGTTCTGTTAACAAATCGTTTTGAGGGTAGTTTGACAAAAATCCAAGGCTCTCCCCGATACCCATAATTTGGCCTACCTTAAGCCACTCTGGCAATGTAGAAACAAACTTTAACTATCAAATATGAATCTGCCCAATCTTAGACAGCAAAATTAGATGGGCACTCTAACACTTTTTAGCTTCCAATTTGTAGTATGCAATCTTTAACTTTCCTCCTTTAGGAAGCTAATTACACTCTGCATTCTACTTTATCAGAAGTATAATTGTTAGCCCGTGTAGACAAATATTGTATAAATAGCATAGACAGATTTCCGTTTAGACTGAACATTCAAAGATGCAAACATTTACAAAGGAACCCCTTATGTGTTTCCATTAAATAAAGTGGACAATACTCCATGGACATAACTGGGAACCTATATAAAATACATTATCCAGGGTAAATCTGAATGTCTTTAGCTCCAATACTAACTGTAAAGGATGTTAGAATAATTGTTTTTCTTAATAGTTTCAGTTGTCGATGCCTCACCTTAGAATGAATCATGGGCAATTTTCCAAAACAATGACATATGCATTAAAATTCACAAACTTTTTGTCTCTCAGGTTCATTGCTGTTTCTGGGACAAGTCATGGAGCCATGAGTCCTGAGTCTAGTGATATCATCTTTAACGACAAGTCCACCTCAACACCAACCAAGCATTTCCAAGTCACTCACAGAAGATGATGACATCAATACACCATGATACGAATCAAGACATAATATGTCCCTGTCTTGGGAGAAGTGACATCGAGGGTTGGGAAATTGAAAATAAAACGGGTAGTATGCTAGATTAGCTAAGAGTGAATGAGTACCAAGATGCAAATGAATGCGAGGAAGTATGAGTTATTGCTGTGTAAAATTTGAGTATGAGAGAATCGTTTAGTACTATAAAACTTTAAAGAAATGTATATGTCTTTTTTTATGAATTCTATATTTAATAAATATATTTATTTATATCTAATGCTTGTGTACACCAGATATTACATTTACTGATATGAAAATATTAATATGGAGACATTACCCCTTTATATTCCATTAGGGTATTTGTGTAAACAGAAAATACTGGAAGAAAAATGTGTTCTAGTAATATGATATATTTCTAGCAGAACTGGACCCAGGTCAACATAGAAATGAACTAATGCAATGTTGAGACCAAATGAAGTAAAATTTAAAGGATCACTACAGGGTCAGGAACAAAAACATGTATTCCTGACCCTATAGGGTTAAAACCATCTAGCCCCCCTGGGCCCCTCATGCCTCCATAAATATAGCAAAATCTTACTGTATTTATGCGAGAAGCTGTAAGTCTGCATGCTGTTTGCTTAAAAAAAACAAGCTGTCTGCTGACATCATCAGAAGTGATAGCCTGATCCAATCACAATGCTTCTCCATAGGATTGGCTGAGACTGACAAAGAGGCAGATCAGGGGCAGAGCCAGCATGATTCAAATACAGCCCTGGCCAATCAGAATCTCCTCATAGAGATGAATTGAATCAAGGAATCTCTATGAGGAAAGTTCAGTGTCTGCATGCAGAGGGAGCAGATACTGAATGTTTGGATGCATTTTAGGCAGCCATGACCCAGGAAGGATCTCTAACAGCCATCTAAGAATTGGCCACTGAAGTTATCACTAGGCCAGGGGTAGGCAACCTACGGCACTAGTGCCATGCACGGCACTCAAGGTGTCTTTACACGGCACTCAAGGCTGCTACAGCCAAACAGGCTCTGGCCTATCAGGAGTCCCAGTGAAACTTCAGATATCTGCTAATACGAAAAGGTGGTGAAGGACAATCCTCAATTTATGCATTGCAGCACATAGAGTAAGTGATCTTAGATCACTTCCTCCCAGCACTTGTGAATGGGAATCCACACTGTAGTAGAGCAGCCTGCAGCTACTGTTGCAGCTCCTGTCCTTGACCTTTACCTCGCCAGCCTGGTCCCCACTGGAACCCAGGGAAGCCACCCACACTGCTAGATTTACTCATACAAATAATACGAACAGTCCACAAACAAACATACATACAATCCACACAAAATAACCCGCTAACAATCCACATACATGCACACAACCCCACATGCAGCCTCTCACATGCAATACACCAAACAGCCCACACACTTACACACACTACCAAACACACAATGTGGCATATCCATCCACACACACAATTCCATAAGCAGCCCCAATACACAGCCCACATTTATATGTATCATACACGATACCACAAACTACTCCTGAACATATACAATAGCTCATATACGCACAAATACAACGATACAAAGCAATTACAGTATAAATAACACAAGCGGAATACGGCAGCATACACACTTCAATTTAGAAAAATAGGACCGGTATGCTACAGGACATCACAATCCTATATCGGCACAGTGCTGCTAAAAGGTTGCCTACCCCTGCACTAGGCTGTAATGTAAACACTGCGCATGTTCGTTGAATGATAATGATTCTACTCACCAGAACAAATTCAATAAGCTGTAGTTGTTCTTGTGACTATAGTGTCTCTTTAGGGAAAAGTCAGTAGTTCTGTTGAGAACAGCAGCAATGTGTACACACACATACTATATAGATATACAAAGTCCTGTGTACTTTTACATTTATATACTACATGACCAAATGTATGATGTAGGTGGACATCCCATTTAAATTCTTGGATTTGTCTATTTCAGCCACACTAATCACTGAATGGCATAAAAATCAAGCGCACATCTATGGAACCTCCCTAAACAAGCAATGACAATAGAATAGTCCGTAACACAGTGACTTTCAAATTAAAGCTGCAATTACAGGAAGTCCACTTTCAATGTGTTTGTGAAGTTTCAATGCTAGAGCTGCTCCGACTGCTGTGAGTGCAGTTATTGTTAAGTATAAATGTGTATGAGAGATAACTTGACATTTAAGTCCAGACAACGCATAGAAGAAGATTGTCATTTGCTAAAATAAACAAACAGCATCTTCACATTCACAACATTGTTTAACAAGTTTTAATCTGCCTTTGGAAGTAATATCAGCACAATAATCAATGTGGCCTCAAAAAGTAAGATTACATGGTTCACATGCCACAAACAAGCCTAAAACCAAACCTAAATCCAAGATCACAACAAGCAATCATAAGTGCCAATTGGCATGGTGTAAATGTTGCTGCCTGTGGACTCCAAGCAACAGAAATGTGTTCGTTGGAGTGATTACTCCCACTTCACTATTTGGAAATTTGACTAATAATGGAAACAAGAGCACTACCTGTTTGACTGCAATGTATCAACTGTAAACTTTGCTGGAACAAGAATGGTTATTACATTATTTAACATGGTTTGAATGTGGCAATAGTGGTAAGAATGGTATTTAAGATAATTATTAGCTTCTAGTCTTGTGGCAACAATTTTGGGAAAGTAATGTTCCTTTTTCAGCATGTTCCCATGCACAAAATTAGGCCCAGGTCCAAGATATGAAAGAGCTTGTTGGCCTTCCAAATAAACATGACCTCAAACTGCCATCAATGCCCATTTTCACTAATGTGATGGCCAGTGGTGTAACTATCACGGTCGCAGGGGTTGCAGCTGCGACTGGGCCGTCGCTCAAGGGTAGCCGGCCACAGCTGTGACCTCTGCGACCATTATTTCAGGGCCGGTACACAAGCACACTGGTGATCACTGCTGATCACTGTATGTAGCATGGCCGAGCAGACCACAGGTAGTGGCATCTGTTGCCTTGTACCCGGTCTGACCGGAAGTGCTTACTGAGAGCACTTCCTGTCAGACTGGGCACAGAGGCCCTCTCATCCACAGTACATGGATGAGAGCAGGTACAGACACATGCAAGGAAATTGACACATGGAATGGACTGTGGGGGAATTGAGACACATGGAGGGACTGAGGGGGAATTGAGACACATGGAGGGACTGTGGGGGAATCGAGACACATGGAGGTGAAACTGACACATGGAAAGGACATGGGGGAATTGAGACATATGGAGGGACTGGGGGGGGATTGACACATGATGGGGCTGGGGGGAATTGAGACACATGGAATGGATTGAGGGGTGAAATTGACACACGGAAGAGACTGGAGAGGAACTGAGACACAAGGAGGGGCTGGTGGGGAATTGAGACACATGGAAGGGGAGAATGAGACATATGGAAGGGCTGGGTGGGGTTCCGGAGTAATTTTTGCCCGGTGGTTTATAGTTACACCTCTGGTTGTGGCTTACAGAAGCAGATCCATCCAGCAATGTTCTAACATCTATTGAGAAGAGGGGAGATTGTCGCAGCATTAAAAGTCAATATTACTATCAATAGTTTTAGAATGATATATTCAACAGCAGGTGTCCAAACACTTTTGGATATGTGGTTTATATTATGTTACGTTTATGTATTTATTTCTATACTCATTGAACTGGTAAAACACTGAATGTTTTGTAATTTTTTTTTATAGCTTAAAGTTGTTAATAAAACACTGTTGGTGTGCATTTTTAACATACTAGCAAAAGTTGTAGAGTGAAGGTGTAGCGCTATTAATAGACAGTGAAACTCACGTACAGGTGTACAATGTGTTGAATAACAATACCTTAATATTTATACACAAACATCCGTGGACAGTGTATAACCCTTAAAAATATAAACAAATATAACACAACATAGTGTATACTGTGATATAATTGTATATATAGATAAATAGTGAAAAAGTTCCCACTCACACTTTAACGAGCTAAAAATATATAGCTCAATGGAAAAGCTTGTGGGGTCTGTAGAGGCGACCCTACCCCTTCTTTGATGTCTGTAGTTTCCCTTTCTTGATTTCTGAAAGTAGGGAGAGCAAATATGGTGCAGCACTGTGGTTTTTTATTGTGGAAAAAGAAAGAATTGTACTTACAAACCCAGAGGCATCCACATCGGCTCTGATCAGGGGATTTATGTGGTTGAAGGACCACAATCCTTCTTTTAAAAAATAGCAGGAACCATGCCAGTAGTGATAAAAATATAAATACACTTTATTCACATATAAAAAATATATATCAATATAAATATAAAATCACTAACTAGGCAAAAAAGTCCAATAAATTGAAGACTAGTTCTTTCAAAAATCCCAGGACACGTTTCGACGTAGCGGCTTCTTCAAACGGTTCAAGAAATGAAAAAATGTCTTCATATCTGTTGTAGAACAAGTTCTTGCTTAATATACCCCTTCAAATGTTCAATAATGCGTTCCTGGCTTGTTAATTCGCGGGCATTCACCATGGAAACGGTGACGCCCAGCGTTTCAAGCCTTGCTTTCGATGTCTTCCTGGTTTCTCTGTTATTTCCGATCACGTGACGACCTGCCGATAAGTCATGCGTTCCATCTTGCGGTTCATTTGAACGGTATCTCAAATGAGCAAAATTATACATAGTAATTATAGGATTAATAACATATATACATATATTAAACAGCCCAGATCTTATCTCTATATCCTAAATGAGTAAAATTATGTATAGTAACAAAAAATTAGTAACATATATAGATTTTAAACATCCCAAATACTATCTCTATCTCGGAAGAGCCAGGACAATATATCAATTTTCAATTGTCATAACTATAGATACACACATATCTTTTAAATATAAAAACATAAAAAAGGAAACAGCATAAGTTTTATATAAAACAAAAATAAATATAAATAAGAGTGTTTAATTTAAAGATCCATTCCATTTAATTTTTACTCATTTTAGTATCAAAATTCCCTCCCTTCCAATCTCTTTCTAATTTTTTTATACCTAAAAATTTAGTATTTTTTATTTCACAATTATGGTGGATCTTATAGTGAGCAGAAACACTATGATTTTCAAAACCTTTGGTTATGTTTCTACCATGTTCCTCTATCCGAATATGTAGTGCCCTCGTGGTCTTCCCAGTATATTGTAGACCACAGGGGCATATAATCAGATAGATAAGATTGTTAGAATGGCAAGTCAAGAGGTCTTTAATATGAAATTCTGTTCCATCTTTGCTATAAAAATGTTTTACATGTCTTTTTTTATTCACCGTCCTCTTGCATGCCAAACAACAGCCACATCCATAAAAACCTTTTTCTGTATTTAGAAATGTGTTATTAATTTTCTTTTCTTTAATATAACTTGATGTGAGGGCAGTACGAAGATTGTTGACCCCTCTATGAATAAAACAAGGTTTTTCTGGAAGGAATGTTTTGGCTATAGGATCTTCTAAAAGGATAGGCCAAAACCTAGAGACTATTTTTCTAACTTTAAAATTTTCTGTACTAAAATGACATATAAATGGGATATCATTAAACTTATCATCTTTTTTCTCTTTATATTTTAAAAGATTGTCTCTTTCTATTTCTTTTACTTCTTTTCTAGCTTTTTCCAATTTATACTCTTCATATCCTTTCTCCAAGAAATCCTGTTTAATTTTATCTGATTGGATTTCAAAAGTCGTAAGATCAGTGCAATTGGGTCGAATACATAAAAATTGGCCTCTGGGGACATTTTCAAGCCATGGAGCAAAATGACATCTTTCTCTTCTTATATAACTATTTGCTTCTACTGTCTTAAAATTGTTCTTAGTTTTTATCTTATTTTCTTCTATATATATTTGCAAGTCCAGAAAAATAATTTCTGACTTACTCCAATTATTGGTAAGTTTTATCCCCCATGTATTGGTATTAAGATAGTTTAGAAATTCAATCAGATATTTTTCTTCTCCCTCCCAGATGAAAAAAATATCATCAATGTAACGGCCATAGGTGATCAAGTTCTGCCTCCAGCTATGTTGGCCAAATATGAACGAATCTTCCCAATGGGCCATAAACAAATTCGCATAGCTGGGGGCGAACTTAGTCCCCATGGTCGTTCCATTCACCTGGAGATAAAATTCCTCTCCGTACCAAAAAAAAATATTTTTAAGTATTAAATCTATCCCTTCTAAAATGTATTCAGTTTTTTTCGTTAAGTATTTTAAGTTCTTTACCTCTATTGAAAATTTTTTGGAAACTTTGATTCATATTATTACTTGGATTATAATTAAGTTTTTTATATGTCTGTTCATCTAATAATATTCTTTTTGTTATACTAGCAAAAGTTATAAAAATAAAAATGAATGCAAAATTTAGAAGTGACACACTCGTATTACAACAGACAAATAATTTTTTTTATAGCTTAAAGTTGTTAATAAAACACTGTTGGTGTGCATTTTTAACATACTAGCAAAAGTTATAAAAATAAAAATGAATGCAAAATTTAGAAGTGACACACTCGTATTACAACAGACAAATTCAGAAATTACATATTTGATAATATAGAATTAATTTCTGCATTTATATGGGATGAAAAGAATACTACAAGTTCCATATGGAACTTTAAAGGTATGAAATATAAAGATCTATCAAGTGTCAGAGCACATGGAAAACCATTTTACCATGTAACATTTTTACCCACATTGTTATCTTAGTTAATCACAGATTGCGGATATGGAATGAATATATTTTACATTACGAATAAGATTTACAGAAGAAATGTATGAATCGGCTTTGCCTAGGGCACTGATCTTGGTAAGTTGTGTCTTGTCTGCTTCCTTGAATTCACCCTAATCTTGTCATTTTGACAAACCTAGAGTGACTGATCCTGCCGTTGTGATTCTATGTTTACCACAATTTGACTCGAGTTAGTATTAAAGTAATATTTAACTTTAAAATAATTGCATTAATTAACAGAACATGTAAATTGGTTCCCACATTGTGATAATAGTTTTACTACATGCTGCATATTACTGGTGAGGGGAAGCCTTTGTTTTGCTTTCACAATTGCCAAAAATGTGTAGATGTAGGGGTGCACCGACGATAGATCCCCAGATGTTGTAGAACTGCAATTTCCATGATTCTTTCCCATTCTAACAGCTAGAAAAAGCATTATGGCAGTTGTAGATCTACAACATCTGGGTATCTACCATTTGCCCAGCCTTGGTGTACAGGTATATTGGAGTAGGGGACACAAAGGGGTTTATACACTAAACAAGAAAACTGCAAATTTTGGACAAATTGCATATTTAAAAAAATCCATTATTTTTTAAACCAGCTATTTTGTTTGGTCTGACTTGTTCAGGAAGCTGAACCTTGCATGCGGAGTTGGCCTAGCTTGCCATATGTAGGAGTTAAGTATGGCATGTTGAGTGGGCCTACGCAGACATATTGAGTTAGGGAAGAGGTTCGAATGTAAGTGAAAATTTGTTGAAATGATTTAAACTTTTTATTAGAATCTAAGAGTTGGTGCTTCGGAGCACAGAAGTTAAATTTCTTTCCTGAGAGCACTTTATGCAATTAGTGAACAGATTCTACCACTACTGAACCATTTGCCCAATTAGCTGCATTAGTGCGAAGCTGCTCTAATTAGATCTCCTTTTCTCCCATTACAGTGGAGATTATCACATTAGGTACTTTCTTTAATTAGTACTTAGTTTGTTGCTATTAAGTTCATTTGGTCTCATTACTGTTCAGTGTTTGTGTAGTGTGACTCACAACAATGGTACTTTTCACAATATGCCAGTAATAATTGTGGTTAACTTTTTGATCATAATAAGTTATTTTATCGTAACATAGTTTACTTTCTTTTAAATTTCCATTCACAGAAAAAACTGCATGTTCGTAAAATACATAAGTGCTTAAACATGCATTATTAAAATATTATTCTCAGTAGAAATGACACTGTACCACCACCAGAGGCCACTCTACACTAAATAGTGTTCAATAGTTAAAAAAAACAGCGAACATTTAAGGGGAACTGTCAACATATCACCCATAGCTTGTGTTAACTTTTTATGATAAGATGCAAATAGCAGAGT